TTTATTTTATAACACGTTATCAGCACGAGACTCTAACATCTTGAGCACTTTATTTGAGTTTAATTTCTTGTGCATGAAGCAAGTCACAGCCACAAAGAAGACGAGAAAAACATTGGCTACTGTCAGGTAGTATCATTCCTTTATACTCACTCATGTTTCCTACTAGCTAAGGTTATATTTGCATAAGATCATATATGCATGTAAGATGATCGTTAGGTAACCATCTGGACATTTGTACTATAAATACATGTGATCTTGAACAACTTGTAAATTTTAAAATACCATTGTATACTTATATGTTCTATTTTACACTTACATGATTTTGAATTAAGGTTTTAATTTTACTCCTGAAGAGTAATATGATAGAGGGGATTATAAAGTGGATAATATTGTTAGATCCACTTAAATTCTAGCAGAGTTTGCAAGAAATATATAATAACCAGAAGTGGTTATGTTTCGTATATCTCGTTGTAACTAAATTTTGTTAACCACCAGAAGTGGTATATGCCTATGACCACTAGAAGTGATAATTTAGGCGTGCTCTGGTTACAATGAAGATAAGTTAGAGAAATTTCTCTATATTACATACTTACCTCGATTTGCTCCTGAAGTAGCAAATATATTAAAAGAGGTCAGACGCAATCACAATTTAATGTGGTTATTGCACGTTCAGATAATTATGTTCCATCTCCTGAAAGAAGAGAATTTTTGGTAATATTAATCCATTCCCTGAAGTGAATGTGACAATATTAATAAAGCTTGTAAATATGAGTGCGCTCTTAATGTAAATATATTACGATTCACCTCCAGAAGAGGTAATATGATTGAGAGAATATATACTCAATATTTCGTATTTTAATTTGATCCTGAAGTAGTAAAACAATTGAAATTTTCTCCTGAAGCAGGAAAATATTACGATCTTTTTGTGCTTAAATAAAATAATGAACAATTCAAAGTTATTTTTGGAGCACATTTTCGTTCCCTGGAGTGAATGAAGAAATATCACAACTCACCTCCTAAAGAGGTAGAATAACAAAGGATATAAATCTTGTTTTTGTGGCATAAAGATCATTGTCGCACGTACCCGTTGTACGTAAAATATCTTGGATAATTTTATTAAATATCATTCCAAGGCAAAAGTATTCTTGTAGAATGCTTTCTATTACAACCACATTAATATATTATGTTTAGTTATCGAGTTCCCCGAAGGAAATAACAACTCATGTATCCCTGAAGGATGTAATGACTATGTGGTTACCGCTTTGATATAAAATATTCAGATATTAATGGCGTTTCTCCCTGAAGGAGATATTTGTCACAAAGTTGGTAGTAAAAATACCGAAATTCTTAATTTCTTACATTTCTAAATTTTAGAATTATCTTTATGATGTTCATTTGATTCTGATTTTCTCTCATGATACCAGAAGTGTCTGAGCAATATTTGATAGTACATAATATATCAACAACTCCTGAAGAGCTAACTGTTTGTCTAGAAGACATATGACACCCATGGTGTCCGATAAATATTAGATTGTGGATAATGAATGAAGGCTCTTGAAGAGCTTATATACAAATATGTCATTCATATTATATGATTATGGTCAAAACATATGTTGTAGTAAACTTGAAGTTTACTAATACAAATGACAATCATACTGAGACTACAAATGATTGAAAGATTGAAAATCTTCATGTTTCCACAATCATAGGGGGTAAATATGTATGTGAAAAGTTACCCGCCTATTCTTCAATTTGTACTACATCATGTATCACAGTAAATCAGAAGTTTACTAATGCAAAAGCAGCTACAGTTAATCAGAAATTTACTTATACAAAAGTAGCCACAGTAAATCAGAAGTTTACTAATGCAAAAGTTTGTGCCATAGTAAATCAGAAGTTTACTAAGAGATAGCACATGCCATGATAAACTTGAAGTTTTCATTTGCCATTTTTAAATGAGCTATTTGAGAACTCAGATAAGCATATACTGAAGAACTAGAAGATTCTTCAAGAATTCGCCTGTGTTGCTTGTTCTCATAATAAATTGATTATACCAGCTAAAGTTGGGACTAATACCCCTGATTCTGAAATATATAAAAGGTGAATATGGGTCCATTCACCTATCATGTGAACCACTTATAGATGCATATATAAGATGATTACATGTATGTTTATTGTCAACCTGCAGTTTGGCATTTGAAATTGCTTTTCTCACGTAAGAGCATAATTTTCAGATTATGAAATCAAGACAGTTCATCTTGATAATGGTGGTTTATATACAAGCTAGTTTAGCAGTGAATACCTCCTATTAATGGCTAAACTATTGTTTATGAGAACAAAGCTTCATGTGTTGGTCTAAGATTTTCTAAATTGCATATAGCAGCACTTGTATGCATCAGGCCAACAATATATGATAAGTCCTCCCCTCACAATTAGTTTAGGATCAGAAACCAAATATTTTACTATCTTTTGATGTGTGGTATATGATTAATTTCTCTACCACAATGCACAAAGATATGTTTCCCAAAGAAGTTTGGGGATATATGTTAGTTTTTCTAACATTTGGGGGATGGAATAAACAACTGAAAAATATGCTATATGAATCGAATTATCATTAATATGATCCTCACTTAGAAGATAATTCAAGTCAAATGCCAGAAGCATTTGCTGATCCAAAATCAAATATCATATTTCAGCTGCAAATGCTCCTATTAAAATTTAAAGTCCCTGAAGGATAGAGTTTACTATACGCATGAAGCATGGTAGACCAATCGGTTCCAAAGGTAACAATCCTTGAAAAATGATAAGGAGCTAATGATCAAAATGATCATAATGAGGAGGAAATGAGCTCTAGAAGAGCCCGCGACATAACATTTCATGAAACTCCAGAAGAAGTTGAGGTACCTGAAAATAAAGAAAGTGATGAGATCTCAACAAGTTATGTCTCTTAGGAACCGATACAAAATGATCGTCGACGATATATTTGATACAATATAGTGCACAATACTGTAAAATATTGTGAGGATCGGACCAGTAGTCCAGACACCTAAAGATGTCATGCCATTTAAATGCGAGTCATAACCTATATGACTCATTTGATTAAATATCTATAAAGATCCCTGAAGGATTTAAAATGGCTGAAGCATGTAGTTCAAAGTCTCGAGAAATGTACTCGATCAGATTATAAAGATCTTTGTACGGTTTAAATCAATCTGGGCGTATGTGATATAATTGCCTCAGTGAATATTTGCTGAAAGAAAGTTACATAAATGATGTTATTTGTCCATGTATTTTTATAAAGAAAATATCATCAGAATTTGTTACACTTGCTGTTTATGTTGATGACATAAATCTTGTTGGAACTCCAGAAGAGCTCCAAAGGCAATTGAATATCTTAAGAAAGAATTTGAGATGAAAGATCTTGGAAAAATAAAAATTTATCTTGGTCTGCAAATGAAATATTTAGCAGACGAGATCTTTATCCATCAATTTGCCTATACAGAAAGGGTCTTTAAACGCTTTTACATGGACAAAGTGCACCCATTAAGTACATCAATGGGTGTTCGATCACTTGAAGTGAATAAGGACCCGTTCCGACCTCCAGAAGAGGATGAGGAACTCCTTGGTCCTGAAATACTCTATCTCAGTGCAATTGCTATGCACTTATGTATCTTGCTAATGCTAACAAAGGTGGTGCAGATCGTATTGGTTATGCAGATACAAGATTAGAATGCAGAGACTCAAATATTTGAAACAAGGTTTTCATCAGGGGGAGTAAAATACGCGATGCACTCTTTTTTCCTTACTAAGGTTTTTTCCCACAGGGTTTTCCTTATAAGGTTTTTAATGAGGCACCTAGCAATGCGTATTACTAAATATGTGCACTCTTTTTCTTCACTAGAATTTTTTCCCACGGGGTTTTTCCTAGTAAAGTTTTAATGAGGCACACTATCTTTTAATGAACATCCAAGGGGGAGTGTTACAAATATATTATATTATGGATGTTCATACTCCGTTGTAAATAAGCTTCCTGAAGAAGTTTATCCATATGGGGCTCCGCCGTAAATATGTTTATCTATTTAGTACTCTATTGGAAATAAGCCTCCTGAAGAAGCTTATCACTTCGGTACCCGGTTGTGGATAAATATTACTTCCGGTAGAAGATTATCCATACCGGGTATAATAAGCTTATCCTTTCGATACTCCGTTATGGATAAACACTACCGCGGTAGAAGATTATCCATACCAGGTATAATGAGCTTATCCTTTCAGTACTCCGTTATGGATAAACATTACTCTTAGTATAAGATTATCCATATTTGGTATAGTAGCAGCTTACACACCAGCTTGTAGTAGCAGCTTACACACCAGCTTGTAGTAGTAGTTTACACAGCAGCTTATAGTAGCTTACACAGCAGCTTCCTTTCTTCTATAAATAAAAGAGTTTTCAGTTCATTATGTACATCAATTTGAAATTCGAATAATATATCAGTTTCTCTCTGTACTTGTTTTTACTTTAGAGTCTTTATTTTATAACAGCAAGAAACCACAAATATAGAAAGTGACTAAGTAGTTATATTGTCCTATGTGGCTACCTAGAAATTAATGGGATTTAACAAATTAAAGATATGTTCCATTCATTTGGACAAAATAAGACCAAAGACGTCAAAATCCTAAAGTAAGGCATATTCCATTTTTCCTAGTCCAAAGTCTTCAAGGATAAGAAACTTAATTTGTTCCAAAAAGCTTCAAAGAAGCAGAAGCTAATTTCGTTCAAAAATTTCAAAAAACAAAAGCTAATTTCGTTCAAAAATTTCAAAAAGCAGAAGCTTAATCCGTTCAAGGCTTCAAGAACAGAAACAAAATTCAATCCGATTTTTGGGGTTCTAAGTTCAATCCACGAAGGTTTCCAACGGAATATTATACGGATTTCCTTACTCCAGGTATGTTAAGGCTATCCTTTTTTTCCTTTTGGCATGATCCAAGTAACGATACGTATACGTAATTCTATTCCATAAGTGGTTCTACTCTTAGCGGTTAAGGATGTCTATGTTAATCGTTCCGATAAAGTAATATTCAAGCATGTGCAGGTCCTCTTTGTTGTCTGATACACTTTGTTGCTTCAGTTTGACTAGTATTATTAGACTTATCTTACTGAAAAGGTGAACCAGATATGTGAGCTCGATGATGTTTTTCTTTTTATTTAACTATATAACAAGTGAAAGTACCTTGGACGACCAAGGGTACTTTCGGTATTATTCTATTATTTTAGGGGCGACTTGGTAATTTAGTAGATCTGACTCATGTAGCTTCCAAACCATGTGCACGTGTGCATTTTGACAGACCACTTAATTTGGTTACATTGGTTTCTTCTCCAATTTCTCTGTCGTTTGCTCCCTCTTTTCTGGTGAGTTCTTCTTCTTCCTACTTCCCTTTTTGCTCAATTTTTGTTCTAAATGTTTTGATTTGTGTTCTTAGTCCTTTATATTTTTATCATTTACTTCTTTATGTGTTTGTTATATGCTTTTTTTATTCTTTTTGGAATCTCTTGTGACTGTTTCAGTTTTATCGCTACCAAATAGCAGGGAAATGGAAGAATACCAGGAAAGTAGTTTTTTTTTGTTCCGTTGCGTTTCCCTTTGTTTTTCGAACATGCACCACAGGTTCTCACCAAATTGTATTAGCAAGGGAAGCCGAAGTGAATTATACAGTACTTAATTGGGATATATTTGTGCCTCATGTGTTCCAATCCCGTTCGAAAGCTATTCTTTGCTGTTGCATGTGTTAGCTTGGTGATACATGATTCAGGAAGTATGATTTCTTTTTTATTAATTTTTTTCTTGTTTTTGATTTTCTTCAATTGTGATCCTATCATTGATTTTGTTGCTGGCTTCAGTTTTTAGTACCATTTTCTTGCTGAATTTTGGTTTGATTTACTCGATATTCAGCAATTTTTGTATTTTGTTCTAATGAATCAGATTCGACATTATTATGAGAATGTCATGCAAAGTAGCCAAATATTCAGTTCGAGACGAGTATTACACGTTAAATTATACACATATACAGTAGGTTCACTTTTCACTGGCAATGAATGGTTATTGTTTCTGAATAGCCGCATCGAAAATGAGACAACTACACGTTAAACTACTGATATACGTCATTGATCCAAAAGATCCTTGCTCTAGCTCTAGATCAATAATTTTCAACTAAATGATGAGAGGTTTAGCTATTTGCCTAAGTACTTCAATCTAATTAATCATAGGATGGTTTAAATTTTCTGTTTAACCAAAAGAACAAAATCAAGGGAGTTCGTGAATGATTCGAAAGACCATTTGTACTCTTATCAGCTGCTTTGATCCACATTAATTTTTGGATATCTCAGAGAATTGTTGTCATTGCCATCGAGCATACAAGAACGACAAACCCAATGTAAGGGATTTTCATTTGACCTTCTTTTTGCCCCTTCATCCTCCACTGATTACTTTGCTTAGGAAATCTTCTTTCAAGCATCTGATATCAATTGCTAATAGTAGTAGTTACTCTAAAATTAGAAGTTTCCTTAAGTTTACTCCTTTGATATGACGTACGGCTCATATTTAAATTGTTATAGGTCAGTTTAGAGATGTAATTCGTCCAAAATGTGCGCGTGGACCACAAGTGTGCAAAAATGTTACCATCTATAGTTATTGTCACAGATGTCATTTAAAGAAGGCAGCAAAGTTCATCGTCTATAGCTTTCTCTGTCAGTTTGCTGCTTATCAAGGATGGAACTAGGCTTCACTTGATTATTAGAAAGTATGGAACTAAACTTTCGCTTCTGTGTGTGTAAAATGATAGCTACTTCACAATATAATATTTACTGCTATATAGCAATTTCAATCATAAGACTTCTTAAACTAAATTTTATGAATTTGGTGTATTATATCAAGACAGAGTAAAAAACAATAAAAGGTCTCATTTGTATCTCAGGCCCAGGTTGCTCATCAATTCGCGGGGATGCCTTTACAGAGTTGGGATCATTCTTTCCCACAAGTGATAATTGAGGTCTTTGGAGAAATTCAAAATCATGGAGTAAAGGTATGCTCGATAGGTTAGGAAAGCACTAATTATAACATGTTTAGAACAATATGAATGAAGAGAATGAACTTACCACTACATCTCTTTTGTCTACTATAGTATCAAATCTCTTATTTGTTGAATCTCCAGCTAGAGGGGAAAAAGAGCTCAGCTACAATAGGCTGGTCATACTCAAATACAAGTTGTGACTATTCGTGATGCAAAAACTGGTAAAAGGAATACCAGCAAAGATGTTATGATCAAACATTTGTTGCAATGGATATGCATATATTCATGATGGAATGGTTGAAAAAATTTCGAGCACTCAGATCAAGGGAACTATACCTGACATGAGAAAAGTTATGCAGCAGGTGCAGTTATGTTATGGCCATGTTCATGAAACAATTCAAAAAATTATTTGCCTTGATCAACAAAATTTCTTCAACTATAAAATTTTGGTGACTTAGACTTTGAACCTCTTCTTATCTTTGACGAAAGTGGTGTTTAATATTTTTCTATCTTCTTTTCTTTACTTTGTTTTTCTTTACTTTTTGCTGTAAAAATTAGAGGAGAAAACCAAAATTGACCCACACCCTCCTCTATATAGGGCTAATCATGTGGTACACTGGACGTCATCTAGACTCAATATTTGTTCACTTCATATTAACCTTTTAACAGTCAAACTTATCTTCTGTTCTAATTTTGAATATAAAAGATATGAAAAATATATATTTTTGTAATTGCTCTTGATCCCTAAAGAGAACTGTAGTTTTTTTTACAGCACCTTATTTAGAGGGATACTATGGAAACCTGTCGATTTAGGTGCTCGTCCTCTTATTATTTTTACTTAGCTTGTCCTTGAACTGGTTTCTTCACCTTAGGGTTTAGTCCTAGGCATGCGCTTAACAGGATTCATGGTTACCATCTAAGAACGAAGGCTGGTGATATTTTATTTTGCCTTTCATGAAAGGAAGTTCATGACTCTGTTATGCTCTCTTTTCTACTGGTCATATTTCTCCTAGGCTGACATAACTTACCTTTTCTTGTCTAGGGCATTACATTCCACAGTTAGATGTTGCTCTTCTAGACCACAATGAGTATTCAAGTTTAGTGCTGAATGACTATGACTGACTTTTAATTTCTTGGGAAGATTTAAAATAGAAGTTTATCATAGAAATGAGATTTTAAGACTGTAAAAAATTCAAGTTTGAAATAACCATCTTCTTTGAAGCCTGCCTATATGATGCTATAATTTCAGATTAAGGCTTATAGCTTTACCGCTACATATGACATGAATTTGTACATTAGACCACTAGCATATTTTAAAAGGGCAAGAACAAATGGCTAGATAATTGATAAGTAGTGTCTGATATATTAGTTCTTTTGTTCATTAGACAACGTGATACAAATTGTAATAAGACTATGAATAAGGCTTGTACCAAGCTTGGCCACAATAGCCCAGATTTATACTACTGGTAATGGGCTTGAAACATGAGTACCAGAAACAATATATAATAGATGAACTCTAGCAATTGGATGTTGTAAGTTACAGTAACATCAATATCTGGTGTGCTTATACATCTTCTCATTAGTTCAGTTGGACTTCTTTTTTTGTTTTGTTTTCTTTCTTAAATCTGATAGGAGGTAGAAATTTTAATTAAATTCTTTTTAACTGTGCCCATGTCAATAATTGGAAATTACCTAATTCAAATGAGTTTTCAGATAACAGTTTTAAGGAGAGATGTTACTCAGATATTAGCTAGGACACATTCTACTCAGAGGTAGAAAAAAGTTGGCGATAAAACATTTTAACATGTGAACTTTGATTTTATGCAGATTGACTTTCAAGAAAACAACTGTCATATGATATGTAGCCTAAGTCAAGGTCGGTATAAACATATAAATAGCTATTATATGTGAATCTCACTTTCATAATTTTGATATTATGCAGATGAATCCTGTCATAGTGAATCTCACTCAATTGTGATTGACATTAATTATGCAGTTAACAGGAGAAATGTATTATTTATTCAGGTACTCTTTACATAGTAATTTTTTGTATAATTTTATTCTTCCATACAAAATTCATTTTGATAGATAACTGTAAAATTTTTGGCTGTGATATTGACAACAAGTTCTGATATTTTTGACAAATTTATAGAAAAGAAAGCTTATGAAATCAAAGGTTTATGGAACGGTCAACTTTAAAAGGGATGCATCACATTTTGTCCCGTATGTATATAGGTTTCCCATGGAAGCTAAGGAATGCACTATTTGGAAGATACTCAACATTTAAATTAGATATTTCGTAATCTCTGAAATCTTGTAAAAATTTATTCCTTGGTGCATGTTTATATGAAGCATTAATATGTTGTGAACATTTAATCAGCTTGACAGTATGCTTTTCATGCCAAAGTGCATATTTGTTTCAATTTATAATTAATATTAGGTGACGACATAAGTGATTGATGTTCAGTTTTTGACTATCTCAAGTTAGGGATGACTGAAAAATTCTACTTCTTTCACTCCGTATTTCAGGTTAAGTGGTAACTACCTTATTATTTCATTTTCACTCTGTAACAAATGTTGCTATCATGTTTGCTGAGTTCTCTTTTTTCATAATGGCTTCCCCTTTCCTGAATATTGCAAGTAGCTTTTCGGAGAGGTCAAAATGGTTTCTTCCTTTCATTACAAAGTGTTGCTTGCTGAAATTGAGGTTCACAATTGGATGTGGCTTTAAATGGTTGTCTTCCCTGTATTGAGCTTTTTTATAATTAAAAAATTATGTTTGATGAATTTGTTCAAAAGTAGTGTAATACAGCTGCAAATCGGGCATACGCCCGTGCTATGCACGGGCATCGCCCATCTAGTTCTGATATTAGACCATGTAATCCTTCTACTAAAGAACATACCATAAGCGAAGCTTATTTTCTTCTATTAGAATTTGTCCTTGAAGTGCAATGTTAATAGGATTGAGCTTGTTTCATGTTGTAAATGAATCTGTAATTATTAGTTAGTTTACCGTCACCATAAACTATATCTCTTCAAACATATGCCACGTAAGAAGCATTTGAATGGTGATTATCTTTTGATAAGTTTCGTGTCATATCAATGTTGTGGGATTAAGTAACTCGCATATTTTTGAGCAAAGAGTTGCTCCCCCGCAAATAGTGAAGCAAATGTTAGTTTGAAGGAACTGAATTTGGAAGCAAAATCTACTGGATTGTAGGTAGAGCTACAGTTATCACCGGTTGGGCAGTTATGCATCACTATTTACCATCGGTCGGGCAGTCATGCATTTACCACCGAGCTACGGTCAGTCGAGCAGTTACATATTACTATCGAGCTACGGCCGTCCGAGCAGTCATTCATTTGCCACCGTGCGACGGCTTGTCAGGCAGTTAACGCCACGAGAATAATGTAATCAGAACTACTATATCGTAGTTTTATTTTTATATACGAATGGGTTTTATTCTACATGTTACGGCCCCCTGCAGCAAGTCAGAAGTTATAAGTTGACTCTTATCTCTCCCCGAGATAGTATCTTATTATTATTATTATATTTTATTTATGCTTTACATACTCGGTACATTCTTTGTACTGACGTCTCTTTTCCTGGGGCGCTATGTTTCATGCTACGCAGGTGTAGATAGGCGAGGTGAGGACCATCCACTGTAGGCTGCCTCCAGATATAAGCTTTTGGTTGGTGAGCTCCACATCTTCCTGGAGTATTGCCGAGTCACATTCTATATATGTTACTTTGTTTTATGAAGATGTCGGAGACCCTGTCCCGACTTATATATTATGATCATGTTTTCTTAGAGGTTTTGCAGACAGTGTCCTGTGCATAGCTTTAGGTATGATATGTCAACGGCCTTATCGGTCATGTATCTATATAAAATCTTTTTGAATTATATATGTGAGTTAAGTTCTAATATTATTAATTATGTATATAACTGTGGCCTATCATGGCCATGACGAGTCTAAAAAAAAGGTATGTGGCACTCGGTTGAGTAGGCACCGGTTCCCTGTCGTGGCCCTCTTATTTGGGTCGTGACAGCCTCACTATTTTGCTCTCGAGGCACATGCTCCAGAGTCCACTCCTTGAAGCGATGCAAGGTTACCTGCAGCTTATCCAAGTATCGTTGCATTCTATCTTCTCGAACCTCGAAGCTTTTGTTTACTTGGTTTTCAACCAATTGGGAATCGCACTTGGCTTCGATGACTTCTGCTCCCAAGCTTTTAGCTAGCTCAAGACCTGCAATCATGGCCGCATACTCGACCTCATTGTTAGTTAATCTTGGAGTTTTGATAGATTTCCTAACAATATCACCTGTGGGAGGTTTCAAGACAATGCAGAGCCCGGACCCCTTCACATTCGAGGCACCGTCCGTGAAAAGGGTCCACACCCCCGATGTTGTACCCGAGTTTAGGAGGAGTTCCTTCCCCACTTCAGGTACGAGGGTCGGCATAAAATCGGCCACGAAGTCAGCTAGGATTTGGGACTTGATGGTCGTTCGGGGTTGATATTCGATATCGTACCCACTAAGTTTGACGGCCCATTTGGCCAATCGCCCCGATAGCTCGGGCTTATGCAAAACGTTTCGAAGAGGGTAAGTTGTTAATACACATATAGGATGACATTGAAAATATGGTTTCAACTTTCGACATGCGCTTATCAATGCAAGTGCTAATTTCTCTAAGTGAGGGTACCTAGTTTCAGCATGTCCTAAAGTTCGGCTTACGTAATAAACAGAAAATTGCGTACCTTGCTCTTCTCGAACTAATACTCCACTTACCGCTATCTCGGACACTGCCAGGTATAGATAAAGCCTTTCATCTTCCTTCGGGGTGTGAAGCAAAGACGGGCTCGACAGATATTGCTTTAACTCTTCCAAGGCTTGTTGACATTCCAGGGTCCATGCAAAATCCCTTTTCTTTTTGAGCAAGGAAAAGAACCGGTGACTCAGATCCGACGACCTCGAAATAAATCGACCCAAGGCAGTTATTCGCCTTGTCAGCCTTTTCACGACCTTCACACTATCCACGATCGTGATATCCTCGATAGCCTTGATCTTATCGGGATTGATTTCGATACCCCGATTTGATACCATGAATCCGAGGAACTTAGCCGAGCCAACTCCGAAGGCACATTTCTCCGGGTTAAGCTTCATGTTGTACTTCCTCAAAATTTCAAATGTTTCCTGCAAATGTACTAAATGGTCCTCTGCGCGCTGGGACTTAACCAACATGTCATCAATATAGACTTCCATTGTTTTTCCTATTTGTTCTTCAAACATTTTGTTAACTAGGCGTTGGTATGTACCTCTTGCATTTTTTAGTCCGAAGGTCATTACGTTGTAACAATAAGTTCCAAACTTAGTTATAAACGAAGTCTTTTCCTGGTCCTCCGGGTCCATCTGAATTTGATTGTACCCGGAGTAGGCATCGAGAAAAGTTAGGGTCTCGTGGCCAGTCGTGGCATCGATCATTCGGTCGATGTTTGGCAATGGGAAAGACTCTTTCGGACATGCTTTGTTCAGGTCCTTATAATCCACACACATTCTAAGCTTATTTCCTTTTTTAGGAACTACAACTACGTTTGCTAACCATTCGGGATACTTTACCTCTCGAATGGATCCTATTTTAAGGAGTTTGGTTACCTCGTCTTTTATGAAGGCATACTTTACCTCGAACTGAGGTCTCCTCTTTTGCTTTACCGGTTTGAACCTGGGATCAGTGCTCAACCGATGTGTGGTGATTTCTGGCGGGATCCCTGTCATATCTAAGTGGGACCAAGCAAAGCAATCCATATTATCAATAAGAAATTGAATGAGTTTTTTCCTGAGTTCGGAGGTTAGTCTCGTTCCCAGGTATACCTTTTTCTCGGGCATGTATTCGATCAAAATGACCTTATCCAGTTCCTCGATAGTTGATTTTGTCGCATCAGATTCTTCGGGAATGACGAAGGTTCGAGGATTAAGGAAATCCTCATCTTCGATCATCTGTTGCTTTGACTCCATCGAGGCTGGAGGCGGTAATTGCTATTTGGCGGCCTGCTTATCTTTAGGGCTCGACTTCTCCGAGGTCGGAGGCTCTGGAATCGGTCTTACTTCCTCGATCGCAAACATCTCCTTTGCAACATGTTGCTCCCCGTATATCGTTTTTATCCCTTCCTCTGTTGGGAACTTCATCATCTGGTGAAGAGTTGAAGGCACTGCCCTCATGTTGTGTATCCATGGTCTCCCGGCTACGTTTACTGGCAAGATGATCTCTCACTTTGTTGTTTCGCTTGCCATATTGAAGCCATTTAGGACCCGGGATGCAGGTATGATCTGGTCTTGCAGGCTAGAGATTACCAAGGCGTAGTTGTGAGGCTGGGATATGCCTTCTGCTTCCTCGTCGCAAAATGACAGGACGTCCTCGGGCACATAGCTCCGAGTTTGCTTTTCTCTTGTGATCAATACTCTGGTGTTCTTGAATACAGGACATTGGGGGACGTCGACTCCTCCAATGATCATGTGGATTTCATACTGTGGTTCTTCTTGCTTGTTTTTCCTTGCATCTCTCTCCCTGAAGTGGTTCTTAGCTCGATCACTTAGAAATTCTCGAAGGTGGCCCTCGTTGAACAATCGATCCACCTCTTCCCTTAGCTGCCGGCAATCTTCTGTTCTATGTCCATGCGTACCATGATACTTGCACATCAAGTTCGGGTTTCTTTGGGAGAGATCGATTTGTATGGGCCTCTGCCACTTGGTGTCTTTGATTTTTCCAATAGCCGACACGATCCCTGATTCTGACAATCGAGGAGCTTCTACGGGGTCGGAGTGCTTGTCAAATCCGCTTTTCCTCATGAGCCCCCGAGAGCTTTGACCTCGATCATTTCTTCGATCACTCCGGGGAGTGTTGCGACTCGGGCCGCTGTTCCTTCGATCGGCATACGGCTAATACCGCTCTCTGTTGAATCTCGATTCACGGTCTTTGTCCCTAGGGGGCTTGGCCACGAGTCTGTTAGGATACACTGAACACGAGGGGGCTCCCAAGTGGTCGTCCTCGACCCTGATTTTTGACTTATAACAATTGTGCACATCCGACTATGTCACAGCTGGATATTCAATCAAGTTCTGTTTCAACTGCTGAGAAGCGATCGAACTCCTTTCATTGAGGCCTTGCATAAAGGCTTGTACTAACCAGTCATCAGAGAGAGGTAATTCCATTCTTTCCATCTGGAAACGGGACACGAACTCCCTTAGCATCTCGTCGTCCCTTTGCTTAATTTTGAAGACGTCTGACTTTCTCGTGGGCACCTTTTTGGCCCCGGTGTGCGCTTTCACGAAGGCATCTGCTAACATAGCAAACGAATCAATGGAGTTAGGAGCTAAGTTGTGATACCAAATCATGGCTCCCTTTGATAGTGTTTCTCCAAACTTTTTCAACAGCACTGATTCGATTTCATCGTCATTCAAGTCATTTCCTTTGATTTCGCAAGTGTATGAACTAATATGCTCGTTGGGGTCGGTTGTTCCGTTATACTTGGGTATATCGGGCATGCGAAATTTCTTAGGGATGGGCATCGGAGCTACGCTTTGAGGGAACGGTTTTTGTATGAATTTCTTGGCATCTAAACCTTTCAAAATTGGAGGTGCCCCCGGTATCTGGTCTACACGGGAGTTATAGGCCTCCACTTTTTTATCATTGTCTTCAATTTTCTTTTCCCCAGACTCAATCCTCTTAGTGAGCTCTTCGAGCATTTTCGTAATCGTGGGGTCAGTCCCCGAGCCGTTTTCATCAGATCTCTCTGGCGTTGGCTCAGCACGTTGATTGTTTTCATGTTCAGCTACGCTCGGGGTTTTATTTTAACTTTGAGTTGAGCGATGGCGATTTGCTGAGCCTGCAACATCTCGAATATCACTTGGAGACTGACTCCCCCATCTCCTACTCCTGGTATTCCTTGGTCCTCTGGTCGAGCTTCCCTGTGTGCATTCCTTACGGGGTCCGTGCCTGCATCCGTGTCTAGAGCGTTATGCGAACTGATATCAACTGGCTCCATATTTGGCACTCCTTAAGGGTTTATGGGTGGTACACCGACCCTATACCGTTGTTTTCTCCAAGACCCTCACTGTCATGAACAGGTGCGTTTTGCGTACTAGACATGTTCAAACCTGAGAATCAAAAAATCTTGACAAGAAAAAGTATAAAGATAACGTGTTATATTTTGACCGTATACAATCGGTTTGAAGCTTAAAACTTTTAATTGAGCATTGTAGATGCAAGAGTGTTATATTTTGGCACAAGTATGGAACATTTGGAATTTTTTTTGTGCGGTTAAGTTAACATATTATTGATCATCCGTACAAAGAATGCGCTGGCTTCAATTAAACTGCATCTAGACCCTGTAGATTATCTGTAATTTTGTTTATGTTTGCTTCATTTTCACTTAGACTGATGATTATGCTTTTTATATTAGCGGAAATTTGAAGAACTTGAAGAATACTTGTTTCAAGTTTGAAGAACTTCTTGGACTCATTCTGATCGATTCGAGCAGCTGAGAAATCGTCGCAACAAATCAGGTTTGATTGTTTGAGTATTAAGCTGAACTTCTGCTTAATCTTTCCGATAGTTGACTTGAACCAATGAATTCGATCGACTTCCTTATTATATTGTGATTGAATTTGAATTCATAAATCGACTCGAGGTTCTTGTTGGTTTGAACCGTTTCTTCGAAATCCTTATTAGAAAATTGATTGGGAGTTAGCTGCTGTATATTATTAGGTCCTGAATGTTAGTTTTTTACTTCAAATATTCATGACATTTCAGAAAAATGGTCCTGAAGTTTGCCTGCAATTTTCTTCTTGATAAATTAGTGGATATATTTAATATATTCTTTATTGGTGAATTAAATTTGTTATAAATACAGG